TTCACCGCCGGACCCATAGAACTGGTCGTAAACTTCTTCACTCCTATCGATCCGACAGATCTCAAGCGTCTGTCACTTCCGGCCTCTTATATATCAATGAGCGCCCGATCTGTGGATCAGAAGACACATGAAGTCCAGGTATATCTCGATATGTCCGGAGAATGGGTCGCCGCAGACGCTAATCAAGTGGTGGAGTGGGATGTCATGGAAGTGAAGGGCAAAACAAATCTAATTAATGGTAACTTTAGACTCAAAGATCAAAAAGAATTTGCAGAAAATAGAGGTAATAATTAATTAAGTTACTCTTAATTATTGTTTATTTAATTATTATAACTACTATTCATTAGATTTAGCCCAATGGGGAACTATGAAGTTTTTCACTGACTCGGCCGCCACTCATGAGGTATTAATAACTATTATATTATTTTATTGTTAAATATCGTATATTATTTTACAGTGTTTGAATCATACTAATGTTCTTATAATTATACTCATGTTTAGGCTAATCCCTGTAAAACAATGCGCCAAAAGTTTGTAAAAACCGGTAAACTCGACAATACTGTAAACAAGAATTACCGCAAAGCATCAGACAATTGGCCGGGCATTGGGTTCGCGCGGAAACTGACCGCCGGTAATACTCATACGGCGGCGAACACTGTCATAATGCCGCAGCGAGTGCAGTCTGCTGGCCGGTAACTCATGTGCCTGAGTGTAGACTTGGTTAATACCCTTTCAATAAAGTTACCTCTGCTGTTTGTCTACTAACTGAAGAAGATACAGGACAGAGAGGACGCCCTCCGAAGAGCCACAGCTTTGGACAAACATATTGTGACCGACGCTCAGGCGGTCGGCGGCGAGAGTTATGTTAAGGTTGTGTCCGCAGCGCTCAGACAGGTATGTCTTGTGTTGTAACTATAATACCTTTAAATAGTTTATGAGATAATTATGATATAGAGTGGGAAAATATAATGAAAAACTTGTTAATGTAATAATATAGTTGATAAAATATTTTTAATTATTAACTATATTTTAAAGCATTTTACAATATGTTACATAAATTTTTACATAAATTTTTAAATTAAAAACTTATTACTAACTCATTAGGCTTATGGAGGAATTGAAATGGTTGGCACAGTTAACAAACCGTGGATGATGTTGAAAGAGATCTCATCCGATGGCAACTGTCAGACAGTGGACGTGATTTACCCCCACTTTCCCGTCCAGTTATATTTCAATCCAACGCTTTTGAAATACCTTTTGGATCCATTGCTCGACAATCAAGAAAAAGGATTTTTCCCATTGAAGTATTGTATGCATGACTTGGGATCTAATTATCCCAAATGTATTGGACATCAAGACGGGCACCAGGAGGACATGGAGGTCGAGGAGAGCGCCAATATGTTGATCATGATGTCAGCCTATGTCAGGGCAGTCAATGACACAGAGTTTGCTAAAAAGCACTACAAAATTGCCAAACAGTGGACACAGTATTTGGTCGATCACGGGTTGATTACAGGTATATTTGAGTTGTTAGTTTGAATAAATACAATAGTAATAATTTATAACTACCATGGTCAATTTAGGAAATGCTTTGACAACCGACGACTTTTTGGGTAAAATTGTAAACTCAACAAACCTTTCGGCAAAAGCTATTGTAGGCATCGGAGCGATGGCACAGTTGGCTGAAGTGACCGGCAATGAGGCGGACAGACAACACTATAGACAAACGGCCGAGAAATATGTAACCGAATGGATCCGTTTGGGTGAAGACCCGTCCAATAAACACATGAAACTGAGCTATAATAAGGCCAACACGTGGTTTATGATCTATAACTTATACGCCGATGTCCTGTTAAATACCAAATTAGTACCCGAATCGGTTTGTCAAAATATTTCATCTAGTTTAAATTACTTGATTAACAACTATTGCATATACTTATAGATTTACAAACAACAGGACGAGTGGTACCAACAGGTGATGAATGTCTACGGCCTGCCATTAGAGAGCGGCCAACCGGACACAAAGTATGATTGGATTATGTTTACGGCCGCCTCGTCTACGAACACAAAACTGCGGCAATCATTGTTCGATCGGACGGCCAAATGGTTGCGCGAAACGCCGACTCGAGTGCCCTTTTCTGACTGCGTGAACACCATTACCGGCGCTTCGCCTCGTTTTTTGAATCGCCCCGTAATTGGAGGTGTATTCGCGCCGTTGACTATTAAACACTAACCATACTATGAATTGTCATATAATTTGAATTTATTTTTTAAACCATTCCGTTTCCGTATTAGATATACAGAAAGGATTTATAGTAAATGTAATGGAGATTAATTCATATTAAAACCAAAATAAATTTTACACGTTAAGTCTATGGGTCGGCTAATCTTATTGTAAAATTCTATTTCTGTGAAAAAATTACAAAGCTATCTAACAATTCCTTAAAAAGTAATTATTTGTATGTCTAAACTTAGAGATTATTTAGAAAGTTTACAACATCTATCCTTTTCTATGAAAAATGTAAAATTATCAATCATTCAAAATAACAAAATTTAATTTTTAGAAATTATTTAGCAATTCATATGAAACGAAAATCACGTATAATTTATATTGTACTTAAGACCAGTTTACTATAATCGAGAGAGAGAGAGAGAGAGAGAGGGAGAGGGAGAGAGAGAGAGAGAGTGAGAGAGTGAGACGAGAGAGAGA